AGGAACATCCTTGAAAAACTCTGGATAGCCTATCACGAGCAGCACGGCGACAAAGAATCCCTCCCCAGTCCGGTCAGAGAAAGGCTCTGTGTGGCTAACATACACTAGAACATGCACCCCGATTTAAATCAGGCTCAAAGAGAGAGCAGAGCAAGGTCTTTGCTATAAAGACCTTGGGTAAGATATATATATATATATATATATATATATATATATATATATATATATATATATATATATATATATATATATATATATATATATATATATATATATATATATATATATATATATATATATAACTGTGAAGGTTGTAGGTTCGATTCCTGCTCACGGCTGGTTATTTCTTCTTATTTACATTCCATTGGTTCTAATAACTTACCCTGTACATTCCTTGGCATTACTGTCTGTTAGATCTGATTAATATTGTGTTAAACCACGCAAAAACGAGCCCTTAGGTATACACTTCTTTCCCTTATTTCATTGAACGAGGGTCTCGTACTGGCAGACTTGGTGTCATTAGGTTGTATACGAGGGACTATTAATCAGCTGCCCGCTCATAATAAGTTCACGTGCTACGTGACGCCAAACATGCGCATAAAAGGGTGTTTTCACGCTCGTCGCTTGGCTTATAGATGGCGCTGACTGTCACTCCTACTTCTAAATTCACATATAAACCCCACAAAAGTGCATGGAGGGAAGGCCGCTGTGGTAGCTCCGTGGTTAGAGCACCGAACGCGTTATTCGAAAGTCGTAGGTTTGATTCCTGCTTGCGGCTGGTTATTTTTTCATCCACTTTTCTTTCTTTTTATTTACATTCCATTGGTTCTAATAAGTTCCCCTGTGCATTCCTTGGCATTACTGTTTGTTAGATCTTATTAATATTGTGTTAAACCATGGAAAAACGAGCCCTTAGGTATACACTTTTTTACCTTATATATATATATATATATATACATATATATATATATATATATATAAACATATATATATATATATATATATATATATATATATATATATATATATATATATACACACATATATATATATATATATATATATATATATATATATATATATATATATATATATATATATTATATATATATAGATATATATATATATATATATATATTGAGTCATTCGCAGAAGGCGGTCAAAAATTATGCAGAAGGCAGAACTTCATGAGAGGCCTCAGTGCCAATGCGACCTATGTAACATCCGAGGAGACGGAAGAATGACATATTACATGCTTACTGGCTCACACGTACCACCCCATCCCCTTTTACCCAACCTCAATGAGAAGGTCCATCGACTAGCACGAGGTGTCACGTTCCGCGCCCGCTCTGAAAGGTCCTCTTCAGGAGATAGACATCCAGCGGAGGGCTGGACAGAGAGGGATAGAATGACCCGATACTGTGACATCATGAACTATTATAAAAAATTACGTGCGTGTTTTCACGTTCTATCTACCCCCTCTTTCTTGCCTCTATTTCCCTACTCCCAGTGATAGGTAGCAACCCGGATGCCAATATCTGGTTAACCTCCCGGCTTTCCTTTTTATCTATCTCTTTCTGTCTCTCTGCCTCTCTCGGTGTACTTATACACCGCCAAGCCCCAAACTCGACAGATCTGAAGCACTAGATTGGAGGAATTTCCAAACCCAGACCTTCCCCGACCCATTCATCTTAGGTGGATATACGGAGAAGTCTATTCAGATGATACCTGCAAATTGTGATGCTGCACTCACGCATCACACATTATCTGAGAATATGCAGTCTCAGCAGGTGAAAATGCAATCTCCCTAGATGAAGCTGCGGCACGGTGCATGACCGCTCTGCGCAGCTCCAACCTCGAAGATCAACTGTCGTCCATCCAGAAAGCCCTTGAGGCAGCTAGGAGACAGAGTCTGCGGTCCTCCTCGAGGACGGCCTATGCCCAGTCCACAAATCCGATTGATATGTGGGATTTAATGTCCCAAAACCACCATATAGTATTCTGAGAGACGCCGTATTAGAGGGTTCCGGGAATTTTGATCACCTGGGGTTCTTTAACGTGCAGCCAATCTGAGCACACTGGGCCTACAACATTTCCGCCTTCATCGGAAATGCAGCCGCCGCAGCCGGGATTCAAACCCGTGACCTTCGGGTCAGCAGCCGAGTACCTTAGCCACTAGACCACCGCGGTGGGGCTAACTTGAGAAGACAGAAGTTATTGCTGGTTTTAGTGGGTGTCACAGCACGGTGCTTGCATGCATTAGTATACGTACTTAACAAGGGGCGTAGGCGGAAATTTTTTCGGGAAGGGGGTGGGGGGCACCTTTTTGATGTTTAGGGGGGGGGGGGGGGTCCTATAATGGTGATTTGTTTGCTTTGTGTGCCATGGCAAAAACGAATTCGGAGGGGCGGGGCATGGGCACGGTGTGTCACCGCCGGGCTGCGCCACTGGTACTATACGCAAGAACGATAATAAATAGTTTGTCACAGATAAGTGGCGCTAGGGTCACTTCTCAAGAGCTACAATATTTTTTCTTTCGTTCAGACGCTTGTCTTGCATGAATTATCTGGGGTGACGCGTACGCTATTCCGTTATTGGCAAAAAAAAACAAAGAAAACTGAAGAGCTAAAGATTCATCTTCGAGAGTAGAACGTGGCAGCTAGCATAATCGGTCCATGTTCTTTCAACACCTTGTCTATGACTAAACTCGCTTCGCTTCTTGGTGGACACTTAAACTGAGATGCGAGAAAAGGAACTTGCACCTGTAAGTTCCTGTAAGTTACACCTGAAAAGGTACACCAGTAAGTTGGCCCTTTTAAGCGAGGCATGATCACCCTTAACGCGCATTCGCCAACTCACCCCTTGTGAGAGGAGGAAGTTGGCTCACACCGGATTGACCTCCACCATAAGCTGCTTCGAATCTAAAATAACATTTTAAAATTTGCCCTTGGGCGGTAGGAACAACTAGCAGACAATATAATCGGATTTCTGGCGCAGCTTATGCAGAACTTGAATATTTCTTCTCTCCTTGTAACTGCAAACATCAAGAGCATGTTTCTGATACGCTTGCTTTCTATGTGAACGCATGGCTGCCTCAAGTTTTTTGCCGGCAAGCGCGGTGGCTGAATCCGAGAGTCGTCATATATCTTGCACGCACGTCACCCTTGACCGTGGTGTAGCAATCCGCCACTGCAGATGTAAGGGCACATTCACACTGAGTATTCGGGCCGCCGAAAGTATGCTGAATCTGATTCGGCGGTGGCCAGATCCACCGAAAGAGCCCTTTCCGTGCTGATCACTCTCGGATCTATTTTGTTGCACATCTGCCAAATCAGTCGCGGTGAACCTACAAAAGCGCTAGTCAAGAAAATTTGCAAAATGGCGCCCATGCCCTACTCGCTTGCCATGTCGCAGTGCACGTAACCGAATGTTGTAACCAACGGAAGTTTAACCCACTCTGTGCCTACTTTTCTGCGCCTATTTCTCTGCGCCTATACTCTGCGCCGACCGAGCTTGTCGTTGGCGTGACCGAGCTTCTCGCGGTCTTGCTAATCAAGATAAAACCACCAACGCCGCTGGCATCGGTGTTTTTTTTTTTTTTGCTCTTCAAGCATTACTAGACAGCTTCTTGCCAGCAAAGTAAGTAGTACTGCTTCTTCTTGCGTACGAGAACCGTCGAAGACTATAGAGCACCTGATAGCCTGGTAGCGTTTCCGAGCCGCGAGAACAACCCGGTGGCAGCGCGTTCATCCCGCGTTGGCCCCGTGGTAGATGGCATATTCGGTGACGCGGGGCGCGTCCAGTGCGAACGACGCTGCGTTTTGGCGACAGGAGAATTTCGATTGCTGTATAAAGTGGATGCTTCAGTGTGAACTAGGGGTAAGGGACGAACTAATGCTCTCTAAAGTTTACTTGAAGTGCCAGTCAACGTTGTGCGTTGTTTTCAATTCAATAGTTGTAGTGTTAAAAACGCATACAAACGAGACAAATGTAAGAGAAAAATGGCTTGAAGTCACGGAAATTTGTTGAACACAAAATTTCGGCACCAACAACATTCCGTGTTCCATGAATTTTCATTAAATGCCGTGACAGTGAAACGAAGAAGCAGTAGCCAAAAAAACAAGAACTTTTTCGTGCTGTTGAAATCGGCTGAAAACCACGGGGGGTTACGTAGTTAACTGGAACGATGCAGTTTCTCAAGCTTTCGGATACCTATATAGTTCAGTGCCACAAGTGCCAACATCCAAGTTAGTAGTGCACACTTCAATCACAGAGATTGCAGAAGCTCCCCGCGAACTACGCGTCGAGTTGGAGCGGCAAACTTAGGTCACGTGGCATTTACCTGGGTCTCCGAGGTAGCTTCCGTTTGAGACAACGCGAGGTACACTTTTTTAAACATTTTCACCCGCATCGACGATGTTTTTCGACGCTGGAACCTTGCCCCACTGCGGTGGTCTTGTCGCTAAGGAACTCGGCTACTGACCCGCAGGCGGTGGGATAGAATCCCGGCTGCGGCGGCTGCATTTTCAATGGAGGCGAAAATGCTTTTGGGCGCTAGTTAAAGAACTGCAGGAGGTCGAAATTTCCGGAGCCCTCCACCACGACGTCTATCATAATCATATGGTGGTTTTAAGACATTAAAGCCCACATATCATCATCATCACGGACGCTGCACCCTTAATTCTTTCAACTAGGAGCCCGCCACAACGTCAAAAGCTCCACCCATCGCATTCCCTGATAAGGCGATACGTGAAGAAATGGACAGCGCACACCAGAAAGAGATAACCCAGCTACAATATTACTACAACAAAAAAAGTGTATATCTTGGCCGTTTGCGAGCAGTATTTTTGCGTATATACATATAGATAAATGTATATATATCGGTGGGAAAAATGAGATAACCAGATGTTGCGATGAATGCTATCGTTCGTAAGGGGAGGTACCGACCACTTACTTGAGCATGCGCTTGGAAAACACGCTTTGAAATTCACACGACATGGTGAACCGACGTCCGAAATGGGCGAACTATTCAGAAGCTACGCATATGCACGGTCAACAAATGCAGCTTTACCTCCTTGAAGCCGCTTGCAGCACAAGAAGCGACCAGCAGCAGCACTGAACGGCCTCGGAACCATGCCGTCATCCCGGTCTAGCTCACCTTGTGCGGCTGAGCAGGTACTGTACACCTCATTATTAGTGTCATTTGTCGAAGCTAGTGACTGTTGGCGTACTCAGAAAGGAATGTAATAACAGTATTAATGTCCTGCAAGATGTGCGCGAACGCGTTTAGGCTCGCACGTTGGGAATGAAACGCCTCACCTGACAGCCGCATCATGCGCTTGCTGGACGACCCATTTCTGGTTGTCTAGGCTGGAGCTATCGTAAGACGGCGTCCCACTTTGCCGAGGTAGCATCGGGGCTAGCATTGTTATATATACTGCACTACGAGAGCATGAGTGTAGGCGTAGCTGTGGTGAATTCGCAGCAGTTCCATATATTGGGGTACATTTCTCCCCTTGCGTATCAGTATTAGATTATTCACTGCATTTTGAGAGGCGGTTGCTGAACACTTTCCGGGCTCTTGCATTCAATAGAGAGTTTTACAATAGCGTAACGCTAAGCTTGCACTTGTTGTCGCCCGCTGTGTTCCTCTCTTAACGGCAGCTCGTAAGAGGTTGGCGTAAGGCGCATGCGTACTTTCGGGAAACACAGAGCTTTGCGTATGCTATTTGAAAAGTGTATTGGCAGGCCGCAGCACACTGTGCGTGCTTTTGCATTCTTCGCTGAGACAGCTGGCGCAAAAGAGCCAGGCGGTATTGAAGCGGCGCAAAACGTTCTTGCTGTAATAAGAGTAAAATGTGACGTGCCACGACGTTGTGCTGCTGGGCACAAGTATGAGGGTATGACTTTTGGTGGCGAGTCTGACTGAAAGTTTAATGCAAAAAGCGTTTGTGCACATATTGTTACGTAATTTTATGAGCATCAATTGCGTACGAAAACCAAACATACTGGATTGTCTCATTGGTGCTATAAGGATATTGTCGAACTTCACTATAATAACTTTGTGCATTCTTTTTGTTTTGATGGACCGAGATGGATGCTGTAAACTCCCTGGTCGTTCCAAGTACCACAATTACAAATTATACAATATAGAGCACTTTGAAGATTTTCAGAGTACTCTATAAATGCGAAATAACCCTACGCTAAACCACAAATCGAGAATTCAGCATCAAGACATGCCCTCCTTGCACACGTCCTCCAGCCTATATGCAAGTGATTTATCATGAGCCACAGTCCATCCGTAATTTTTTAAGACCTCTAACACAGACCTACGCCATAGCTTAAAAGCACTACGGAAAAAAAATACCACATCATTGTCGCGTATTGGGAGGAGCCTACTTAACGCATGTAATATTGCTTTGGCAGATGAGTGGAATTGCGCCAGTAGTCAAAAAAGTTTGAATTGAGGAACATATTAGTGTTTTATACATCCACTTATTACAAAGCGCAAAGATATACTTAATCCTCATTGTCAGTGTAAGCATCAACAAAGTGAACAGTTGAGTAGGTTCGAGTGTTGCCTTAAGGCAGCGTTCACACTGAGCATTCCGGCCGCCGAAAGTGCTCCGAATCCGGTTCGGCGGCGGCGAGATCCGCCGAAAGGGCCCTCTGCGCGCCGATCGCTCTCGGACCGATTTTTGTGGCGTCTGCCGCCGAATTGGTCACCGCGGACCAATAGGCGCGCTAGTTAAGGAATTTTGAAAAATGGCGGCCAAGCCCTACTCACTTGTTACGCCGCAGTGCACGTAACTGAATGTTGAAACCAACGGGAGTTTAACCTACTCTGTGCCTACTTCGCCTCCGTATTTCGTGGAGGAGGTGACTGAGCTTGCTGTTGGCGTGACCGAGCTTGTTGCGGTCTTGCAGAGCAAAACAAACCCACCAACGCCGCTGGCGTCGGTGGTTTTTCAGCTCTTCGTGCATTACAAGACAGCCACTTGTCAGCGAAGTAAGCAGTACTGTCTTTTCTTGCTTCTTGCGTACGAGAATCGTCGAAGGATAGCGTAGTAGCGTTTGCGAGCCTTGACAACAACCGGGTGACAGCGCATCCATCCCGCGTTCGCCACGTAGTAGATGGCATATTCGGCGGCGCGGGTCCAGTGCGAACGACGCTGCGTTTTGGCGGCAGGGGAATTTCGGTCGCTGTAGAAAGGGTATGTTTCAGTGTGAACTGCGGGTAAGGCTGGTGCACACCGGCGACAAGCAGCGGTGGCGCGACCATTTGCGACTGGTCGCAAACAATCGCAAAGCGACTGCTTTAACTAGTCGCTTGCTGACCGATTTTTCAGTCACACGACTGCTGTCGCAAAACTGCTGGAACCAATCAGCAATGCTCAATTTTGTTTTTTTTCTTTGTTTTTTCAATGCTGTGAGAGAACGGACGAAAACAAATGCGGTGCGCTCGGTTCGTTCCATTCACTCAGCTGGCGGCGATCAGCTGATTGGCGCCGGTCTCGCTGATAACGAGGTCCGGACGTGACTCTCCAGTTTTGTGACTTTCGGTCGCTCACATGCAGCCTCTGCCGGTGTGAACATCAGTCGCTCTTTAGTCGCCAGTCGCGAATGGTCGTGCGACTGGTGCAGTTCGCTGGTGTGTACCACCCTTTACGGACGTGCTGTGCTGCTCTCTGATTTGCAAACTTTCAGCGTGGGCGCCCACGCCATGTACTCGCGAATGTGCAGCTGTACTTGCAGTAGGCATCCTATAAATAGTTTGCAACAGCAATGTTACGTGCCTGGATGTTTGTTTCCTTGCAGCATGCTTGATGCATGCACGGAGGATAGAAGCGAGTCTAGCAATTGAGAAGGCGATGAGCACGAGGCCTGATGGTTATCGCGATCTATTCTTGAAGGCGAGGCTCAAGCGTCTTTAAAGTTTTGATCTGGGGACATGCTTTGCACGTATACGCAGATCGCTTAGATTTATCCTTTATAAGTTTATGTCAGAGTTGTTTACTATCTACGCCTAAAAATAAACTTCAGTTTGTGTTTAAAAGGGTACTGACTGAAAGTGTGGCTTCATGTTTTTTTGCTACATTGTCACACACTTCCCGTGAGGCCCCGCCGATCCAACATCGACGTGCGGCCGACTCGCAAGCTTCCACTTTACGCTTCGGCCTGCGACGCCTGAAAGGCCTCGAAGTCCCACATTTCGAATTTATTTGCGCGTTGGTCGACCCGTGCGGGGTTGCACGTGTGGTGATGTGTGGGCCTGACCGACGCACTCATAGAGCAGACACGGAGTTTGATTACACATAAACAAGCATTTAATTGAAACATGGGCAATTTAAAGGCAGGAGTTTACAAAAATAACACAGGAGGGAAACTGATACGCGATGGAAAGAACAGCTATATAACAAAATATGCTTAAAAAACACTACAAAAGATACAGACTAAAGACAAATATGCGGAACATTAATAAAATAACAACAAGATGGAAATCAAAGGAGAGAGACACTAGAAATTAATTACAGAATGATCATGGTGGCGCTTTAGAATTTAAACGTGCGACGCAGCGCACACTACAAATATTTAAAAAAAAAGGCTGGTTAAAACAAGTTTACGGTTTAACAAAAAAGTCACAATAAAAAGTTCCATACGGACCAAACCAGCCCTTGGTGCACGTAGGGGAGTTGACGGGTGCCGCTGAAGGTCTCGCCGGCTTGGTAGACGACGAGGGTGCCCGGAATTGCAGCCGTCTCAATACGTTGCGCGGGTCACTCCGTGCTCGCCGCCTACGCGAGACTCGCGACACCGACGACCGCACTTTTTGCTGTCTGTACGTCAACTGCTCTTCCGATGCAGTTCAAACCGCCTCAGGGGCGTACACGTGCTCCCGTCTCATCTTGGAATAATTTTTCTTGTTTAGATCGCCGGTGCCCCTTCCTGTACCGGTGCAGGGAAGACGAGCCGGCGCCACGCTGGGTCGTTATAGTCGCCGGATGTCGTCCCCCAACACAAAAGCGCCCTTCCTTGGTAGGTGTGGCCCGCGGATGCTCCGAAAATTGGAGTCGTTTGTGACAGTGACCCACCGCTTGCTGTCTGATATGGCGTCTTCTCCATAAGGGGGGTCTCTTCAAGCCGGTGGACACTAAATTTTTGAAGCTACACTTTTGTCAGTTTGAGTGCCTTGTGTTGTTGGTAGATAAGGTCGCTGCGCTCTCGTGATCTAGATACTTTCACTGGACACGTTTTGAAGGCACCTAAGTCGCGTCCGAATGATGAGCGCTTTGTGTATCCACACGCCGGCGTGCTCCTCGGCGAAGTCCTCACCGCTAACGTGCGGTTCGGTGAGCTCATCTTGCTGCTTCAATTTTTTGGCGATGGCCTCCGATTCATATCTGACAGTCTCAATGTACCCCTCTTTGTTGGACTCCGAGTTATTTAAGGTCTCTATAGCAGCGTGAGCTTCTCGCTCAGCGTCTCCAGCTCAATGCACAAGACTGTTCTTTTGTTGGGTGAGGCACTATTTATTATTGGCCCAGTTGTACTAAGTGGCGCTAAAGGTTTTTTATTCGCTGAGCAATCTCGGGTTATTTGCGAATCATTTGCACGCTCATCGGTGATTTGTTTAACATAACTGACATTTATACTTCATTGGGAGTGGCTTCCAACAAATGTTCCTCACAAATGACGTTATGTAGGATACGGGATTATTTGTTTGTATTTGAAAGCCCGTCATCATACATTTTCAGCAGATCAGCATTGCAACCCCTATCAATTTCGAAAGCTCGTGCTAACCAATGCTTCTTAAAACAAGTAGCTTTGGCATGAGTTCGTTTGTGCTCATTGGAAGGGCTTCATATTCAGAGTTGAGTTTACGGAGAGTGTGCCATTCTTAACCAGTTGTTTAGCCTATTTGAAAGATAAACCACTAGAGGGAAACTTGAAAGAGGTGTCTTATATATATATATATATATATATATATATATATATATATATATATATTTGTAACGAGGGCAGTGGGCATAAAGCTCGAGTAGAAAAGACTTGCTGTGATCGAAGGCTTGTGTTCAGTTAGCCCTTACGCTAAATAATGCTCTCCTTCACCGAGTCCTCCCCTGCTTGTTCAACAACCCGTTTCAAGTGGTGGAAGTGCTGGGATACATCTGGTACTCGCCCTGGAACTTCGCAGCCGCACACTCCAACGACCTTTTACAATGACTAATCCGGGGCTGTCTCAGGCTGCTACTCCAGATCTCGCACATGTGCCTGTTTTCTGCGCTGGCTCTCTCCAGCAGCGCGACCCCCCCCCCCCCCCCCATTTGGTGGCACAGAGGACCAAGATGTGGACAACCAGATTGCCGAGTATGAACTGGTGAGCGCATACAATAAGTGGAACGCAGCCGATAAGCTCACAAATGTGAGTTTTTACCAGACCGACGTGGCAAAACTATGGTACAGGAATCATCGGTGATTTCAGTACCTGGTCGGAATTGGCGAAAACCCTATCGGAAGTCTTTGGCCGTCCTGCTGTCCACCACCTTCATGCTGAACAGCGCTTGCGGGGCAGAGTACAGAGAGCAGATGAAACTTTCACGAGCTACATCGAAGATGTGCTCTTTCTCTGCAAGCTCGTCGATTCGACTCTGGACGAGGCAGGCAAAATCAAGAACATCATGAAAGAAATCGACGATGGTGCATTCCAAATGCTTGCTGCGAAGATTCCCTAGACGGTCGCCGAGGTTATTCAGGTCCGCCAAAGCTATGATGAGCTGCGGAGGCAGCGCGCTTTTACACGTTGCGCTGCTCAAGACACCGTGGACATCTCTTACCTCGACTATCACCACATGACACCGCCGACCACTCTGCGTTGATGCCACTCATAAAGCAATTCATACGCGAGGAGGTCACCCAGCAGCTATGCCACAGCTCCCTTACAGCCGTTGCCATGTCCAGCACGAGCTTTTGATCGTGTGGGAATCGACCTTTACGGCCCGCTTCCCTATACTTCGAGTATATAGCAACCACCGGGTCATTGTCGCTATCAACCACCTAACGCGGTACGCTGAAACAGCTGCGTTACATTCTGCTACCGCAAAAGACGATGCATGTTTTAAACTGCGAAACCTGGTTTTGAGGCATGGAGCACCTTGGCAGTTACTAAGCGACCACGGCCGCGTTTTTCTCTCCGATTCCATCAAAGCGTTGTTGAGTGAGTGTCGCATCATACACCGCACTACCACAGCCTATCACCAGCAAACTAATAGGATGACGGAGCGTTTTATTTGTACACTTGGGGATATGCTGGCCATGTACGCTTCATCCAACCAGTCAAATTGGGATAGCATACTGCCTTTTGTGATATATGCTTACAACACTGCAACGCAAAGCACCACTGGATTTTCGCCTTTCATTCTTCTTTATGGACGCGAGCCATCATCAACTATGGATACCATTCTTACCTATCGACCGAACCCTTCAGAGATTACTACCGTTTCTCGAGCAGCAGCACACGCTGAAGAATGTCAGAAGCTTGCTTGTGCGTTCCAAAAAAATCGCCACGACGCGCCAAACACGCCTATGAGCTTTGCTACGAACTCACTGGTGTGACTATGGATTCCTTGTACTCTTCCAGGACTCTTCTACGAGCTTTTGTCTAGGTACCATGGCCCTTGTTGAGTTGTACGCCAACCATCCCCTGTCAACAACCTTGTCGAGCCCCTGGATGCATCTCCGGACAAGCGCCGTCGGGGACTAGAAATCGTACACATCTCTCGGCTCAAGCCATACCATGACCCTTCTGTGTACACCACTCCTTAGGTCTCCAGGATGGCTCCCTCATCGCCCGGGGGTGATTGTAACGAGGGCAGTGGGCATGGAGCACGAGTAAAAAAACTTGCTGTAATCGCAGGCTTGCGTTCAATTAGCCCTTGCGCTAAATTAAGCTCTCTCGCTCACAGTCACATTCTGCTTGTTCAACAACCCATATATATATATATATATATATATATATATATATATATAGTGTGCGTGTCACTGAGGTTTACCCTTTCCACTGTGTTCTCGTCTTACCTGTAGGTCAAGGATTCATAGCTACAAACTATTTCCAGCCTTAAATATCTCTTCACTGAGCAAATCATATTGTTCTACGTTTCATGTATGTATGCAGGTCAAGCATGATTGTCACTGGGAAGTGCTGACATTGTCTTATTTATTTTTTTTCTTTCAGGCAAACAAGTCAGCTGAAACTCTCATGGATGACTTCGCATGGTTCTTGTACAAAGAAGACCCAGATATCTTTCAAAACGTCCACAGAATCAAACGACTTCTCAGTTTGGCTGATAGACGCTTTCGGAATGGCGACAACCTCATGCAATCATTCTTCAATCCCTGTACACACGGCATCAAAGGTGACTGCTGGGCATTATCATGTCACCACAGGTTGAACACCGTCTTAGTATCACATGGCATTGAAATGATCGCCAGTCACGAGAACACTTTCGCTTTGCAAACTCTCGAAAATACCGACGACATCCTGACTAGTCCACACGAGCTCTTTTCCATGTGCATATGCCTCTGGCTTTTGAGAACGCATTGCTGCATAAGGAAAGTAGTCATCAACGTAGCTACTGTCGCACGCTTTTGCACTCAATTATTCTGGAGGCTGCTTTCACTTAACGTTGGCCAACTTGACAAAGTGGAACTAACAGGCTTGCCTACCGATCAGAGTCATTTCAGAGTCTTTCGACTGTTCGAAAACGCTACTGGACTTTCGGAAATTATCATTGCTCATATAGCCCTCAGTGACAAGCAAGTTAAGCTGCTTTGCAGTGTTTTGGCACAGAATGAAACATTAAATATACTGGTGCTAAAATATGCTAGCATATCCACAATGGCGCTGCAGGTTCTTAGCAGGGCCATTACAAAGTACAGTCGTCCAAAATCTTTTGAGTTACGGGAAAAAACCCTAGGTTTTGAGGGTTACGAAGCTGCTTTGGCTAGACTTTTGGACACACCTGTCGGCAAACTGTGTCTGGAGGCACCATGCAATTGGGTGAAACTCTTGAAGCGTCTTCATTTTAATACGTGCCTCTCTGATTTGGAGATCCTTGATCGTGGCGCTAGTCACACATCGCTGAAAGACCTGGCAGACGCCCTTCTCGCCAACTCAACATTAAAGCACCTAACACTTAGCGTTAGATTTCCTCGTACAGACGGGTGCACGTCTGGCCAGTGCCTTAAGCTCACACAATCGATCGACCGAAACCAACGGCGGAGAGGACTGAGATTCACCTCGTTGAAGTTCTGCAAAGATTGTGAGCCAATGGTGAAATTTGCTGACGCTATTGCCCAGAACAAAAGTCTAATCACACTCTCGGTGGAGGAGTGTGACCTTTCTTTAGTGAATTTGTTTTTAATTTTTCTTGGCCTGTCGGATAACGACACGATGGAGACGCTGCATATTGGACACTTGGTCATGGACGATGAGGTTAACCGCTTAATCTTCGAGCGTATTGTCGAGCTTGACCTAGGAGAGCGTGTAGAATGTGTGTACGCTGTGAGAAGCGACTGGTTGCAAGCGCAGTCTTCAGGAGACTACGAAAAGATGTGCATTCGTAAGATCAGAGTTCTGTACTCATATGATCTGGATGGTGACTGCTTTCTTAATAGCATGCACCGATTGCGGGAAACGTTGACTGCTTTGTTGTTGCAAAACTTGCCCGACTTCTGTATGAGCTGCACTGCAGCCCAGTGTCTAGCTGATGTGTTTGCTAACAGTAATTTACTACATGCAACACTTGTACTAGACGCAGACACCAACATTGCGGTAACAATACTCGAAGGGTTGGCGTTATCCAGAACAATCTACTCCGTAGTCGTTGGAAAGAGGTGGCAGCTGTCTGGCAAAGTGGCGATCACGTTTGGAGAAATGCTCCGGAAGAACAGCAGCATAGCAGACCTAACAGTCTGGCAAGAAACTCGAAGAGGATTTGAAGAACTGAAAGCGCAGCTTCGACTGGGTGTTCAGCGTAATTACGCCATCAACAGGGTGCGGTTATTGTATGGCTCTGAGATGAAGGAATCGCATGACTGGCTTCTCTTGCAGATGTTGCGAAACAACAGGATCGCTGTCTCCTGGGCTGCGGATATTATCCGCGGATGCAGCTCAAACGCAGCATGTATGTATGCTTTTAATCGCATAAAGACTTGCGACAACTGCTGGATGGTTTTGAACCAAGTTACAGGTTGCGAAAAAGAAGAGTTAAAGTTGAAGATGGCGGAAGCCTGTAAGCGTTCAGAAAAAGAGTTGTTCCGGCTGCCGCTTGGCGTCCCTAAAGCTGCCGGAGAAACCCAAGTGACTGGTGGAACGACAGATGCGCTGTGCACTCTCAATACATACTTTGTTGAGGAATTCAAAATATTTGTCGAGGCACTGAAGCGTAAAAACAAGTCGAGCCATGCTCTACAGACTTAATTTTTGGATGTTCCTACTAAATTGCAGCACATTTTGCTGATAACCGCGGGTGTGCAAGTGACTCTGGTTTTGCCTTAAAAACCACACAGGAAACCTTGTCCACGTATTCTGTGATCTAATAATTTGCCTGCTGTCATTACTAGATCCATATTTTGATAACCCCTAACAATTAGACATTTGTAGCGTTGTTCAGCGATTTTGTTTGTTGTATGTCTCGCTGACTTTAAAGCTTTTGCACCATGAACTTAGCTGTGTAGTAGGCGAATTGTGAATAAAGCGTTACCATTTTCTCATTGCCCCTTTCGGTTTCTTCATGTGCCTAGCAGCATAATTTCAGTCATCAGTATTCATTGACTAATCAGTCTTACAAAAGGTATATGCACGCGACGGGCTTATATGGCACAGGGCGCCCCGTAGTGGGGAACTGCGAGGAGCACTTCATGAGAAAACAATCTAGGAGAGACATGAATTACAGTGGCTCCGGCGAACTCATTATGTTGGCAGTTTGCAAACTAAGAGCGAAGAAAAGAGAAAATGGGAACTTCTTTAGTAATAGATGAACAAGAAAACTCTGTAATAAACATACTTGCCAAGACGCCCTGATGATGTTGACCGCATATTTGAATGATGAGGTGAGAATAGGCTATATAAAAGTGGTGAGGAATGGCTTACATTGCGAGTTGAGAAAGATGGAGCACGGCACTGTGCAAATAAATGGAATCGGTTGAGATTACTGAAATGCCGAGATTTCGCAGAGCACAGAATAACTCTCGACCCCAATTTGGTGCACCCCTTCCCGAAAGGAATTTCTGCCTGCACCCCTGCTAGGGTTGCATGTGGTCAAAGAATATTGAACATAAAGTGTCACTTAAGCTAATTAACTTGTCAACAAGATGGCTCGTGTTCAGTGTTACCATTGAGTAGATTTGAAAAGTAGCCAGAAACTAGGTTAAACGTAGCCAAATTAGGCCTGAAATTTACCCGTATCACCAGGTTTTTAGTCAAATAAAACAAGCGGTATTATGAATAGTTTGTTATTTAACAATAAATATATTCTTGAATAAACAAAAAATAAATTCATAAGAAACGAATTGTTTTCCGTCTCACTTGTTCTTCGATCCATAGCTTCGATATATATTTATATATATTGTAAGATGGCGTCGAGTACACTCAAGACTCTCCTTTTATTGACCCGAGTATGAGCCCCACAACCTAAACTTGACTGGTGATGATGAGTATGTACAGATGAAAAGATGGGACGCATAAATAATGCTCACACTTCTTTTCCCCGCGCACTTGAGCGGCCGGCCCGGCCGAGACTTAGGCGGGAAAGGTACGGCGCACAAAGGGTTTAAGACGTGAAACGTGGACTATCTCGGAGACGTGAAACGTGGACTATCTCGGAGGCACGGTAACGACGGTCCGAGGAACCCTCGACGGGAGTGACAAGGTAATTGACAGGAGATGTTCGTTCACAAACAACCTAAGGTCCTAGAAAGCGAGACTGAAACTTTTCACACAATCCGGGTGTGCGAACAGGCGTCCAAAGTAGTACTTCATCTCCAGGACGGAAGGTGACGTCTCGACGAAAGCTGTCATAGCGTTGCTTGCGGTCTTGTTGACTGGCCTCCGTGTTGAGTTGAGCACGTTGCCGGGCCTCAGCAAGCCTGGAGACGAAATGTTCTGGCGTAGTCGTCGACGTTTTTGTCATTGCATTGAAGAAAGAGGCGCCAATGGTGAATGTCGGCGCACGACCATAGACGAGGAAGAAAGGTGAATACCCGGTGGTTCGTTGAACAGCGGTGTTGTGTGCAAATGTTACGAACGGCAAGATATTGTCCCAATTATCGTGGTTCGGTCCGATGTACATGGATATCATGTCGATTAGAGTCCGGTGGAATCGCTCTGTCAGCCCATTTGTCTGCGGGTGGTAAGCGGATGTGGTCTTATGAACTGTGCCACAAGTATTTAGAATTTCGTCCAGAATTGTTGACATGAAGGCCTTTCCTCGGTCACTTAACAACGTGCGAGGTGCACCATGACGCAACACAATGGCTTCTAAAAAGAAGGCGGCAACGTCTGAGGCGGAGCTAGTGCGTAGAGGAGCGGTCTCCGCGTATCGTGTGAGGTGGTCGACGGCTGTGACGATCCAGCGGTGGCCCGCTGGCGTTACGGGAAGTGGCCCGACGAGGTCTATTCCGACAACGGCAAAAGGTGTGTCGGGACATGTAATGGGTTGTAATAAGCCAGCAGGAGCTGAAGTTGGTCGTTTCCGGCGTTGACAAAGTGCGCAAGAAGCGATATAATTAGCCACAAAGGTAGAAAGACCAGGCCAGAAGAAACGGCTCCTAACGCGGTTGTAGGTCTTTTGAAATCCCAAGTGTCCAGCTGATGGTTCGTCGTGCAATGCTTCGAGAACTTGTTTTCGCAGCGAACGGGGAAGTACTGGCACCCACCGATGCCCATCCGCATTGTAAGTATAGTGCTGCAGGACATTGTTCTCTAGCTTGAACAGCCGTAGCTGACGACGTAGTCTGGCATTAGGTGGAGAAGGCGAGCCATTCAAGTATTCGATGATGCGGTTACAGTAGGGATCGTCACGTTGGTACGCGGCAAACTGGGCGCTGTTGTTTAAAGGTAGCGACCCAGCAACTGCCAGGGGTGATAACGTGAGTGAAGAGGAAGCCGCTTGATCACCTGAGGGGCATTCAGGATGCGTGGTTGGAGGTGAAAGTGGCAGAGGGCAGCGAGAGAGAGCGTCAGCATCCTGATGCTGTTTGCCGGATCTGTACACAACGTCAAAAGTGTATTCTCGCAAACGCAGTATCCAGCGAACGAGGCGCCCAGACAAATTCTTCAGCGAGGACAACCAGCATAGGGCATGGTGGTCGGTAACCACAGTGAAGTGGCGTACGCCCATACAGATAAGGTCGAAATTTCTGGATGGCCCAAACGACAGCGAGACATTCCTGCTCTGTTATCGAGTAGTTCTGCTCTGCAGGTGTTAGTGCGCGGCTGGCATACGCAACTACTCTCTCACGTGAAGTGTCGTCGCGCTGGAGGAGGACAGCACCGATTCCGTGGCCGCTGGCATCTGTGTGCAGGAAAGTGGGTGCACTCTCATCGAAGTGACGGAGGACGGGGTCTGATGTCAAAGCACGCTTAAGGGCTTGGAAAGCACACTCGCACTCGTCAGTCCACGTGAAATCCATCCCTGACGTCAGAAGCTTGTGTAACGGCCCCGCAATGGCAGCAAAGTGACGGATGAAGCGGCGGAAGTAAGACGCCAGGCCCATGAAACTTCGCAATTGTTTTTGATTGCGCGGACGTGGAAAACTAATTACGGCAGCAACCTTGTCGGGGTCGGGTCGAACGCCATCTTTGCTTACAAGGTGACCCAATACTTTGATGCTTGTGCTGGCGAAGTGGCACTTTTTTGTATTGAGCTGTAGGCCAGCGTTCGAAATGCACGTTAGAACTTCGTCCAATCGCTTAAGGGGCTGAGAAAAAGTAGATGAATAAATGACGATGTCGTCTAAATAACATAAACAGGTTTTCTATTTGAGACCACGTAAGACGGTATCTATCATGCGCTCGAATGTTGCTGGAGCGTTGCATAAGCCAATGGGCATGACGTTAAATTCGTAAAGCCCGTCAGGCGTCGCAAACGCTGTTTTCTCCTTGTCCGCTTCGCGCATAGGTATTTGCCAATACCCGCATCGGAGGTCGAGGCTGGAGAAATATTCTGCGCCTTGTAGGGAGTCCAGGGCATCATCTATGCGTGGCAACGGATATACGTCTTTTTTCGTGATCTTATTGAGCGCTCTGCAATCAACACAAAAGCGGACAGAGCCATCCTTTTTCCAGACCAACACCACAGGAGATGACCAAGAGCTGGATGAAGGTCTAATAATATCCCGTTTGAGCATGTCGGCGACGTTCTCCTCAATGATTTGCCGTTCTGCTGAAGAGAGACGGTATGGGCGGCGGCGTACAATAGAGCTGCCTTCGGTTTCGATGCTGTGCTCTGCAACGGAGGTGCGGCCCAGAACTTTGCAATGTACATCAAACGAAAGGCTGTGCTTTTGGAGAAGGTCTAAGAGGTCTCTCTTTTGCTCGGCAGTGAGGTGAGGACTTATGGTGTCATTTAAGGTAACAGTGGTAGCCTTGATATCAGTAGTAGCATACAAAGGCAGTGATTCTGCGTGAAGGGGAACCAGCGAAAAGGGCTCACTGTCAGCGAAGCAGCTCACAGCAGTGCCCTGGGGCAGCATGACAGGCGAAGAAGTTGGATTCAAGGCGGTGACCAATGCTTTACCGTCGTTAAAACGCACAAGGCCGGGTGCTATGGTAAGCCCTGCAGGTTTGGAGCGAACTGATGGAGCTATGAACACGTCACCATTAACTATAGTATCCGATGCGATCGTTAGAAGTTGTTCATCTCCTGGCGAAATGAAACAATCAGTGGCGGCAACGAAACGGAAGCTGTATGGATCGACATCCGATGAACTCTCAGTAGCTGACATTTGAATGACTCGCTGACGACATGATATGAAAGCTGATGCCGAAGAAAGGAAGTCCCATCCTAAAATTACTGTGTGAGTGCACAAAGGAAGTACAAGAAACTGAATGTGGTGAAGCATGGCATCTATGAAAACGCGGACTGTGCAAACACTTGAAGGCTGAATAGGGACTCCATCTGCGCAACGAAGGGGAGGACCATCGTAGGGCGTCCTAACTTTCTTCAAGCGGGTACAAAAGTCTGCACGAATTACGGAAAGTGATGCGCCTGTGTCCACCAGTGCCTCTGTCTGTATACCTTCAACATACACCAATAAAACATTCGATGGGTGGTCCGGAGGAGTTTGACGCAGTTCGAAAGATGCAGCTTTCCCTCCCGAAGCTGCACTGTTCAGTTTTCCAGTTGGCGGTCGGGAATTGAAGTAGAAGGTCGGAGAGGAGAAGAGGAACGCCGCATCGGTGAAGGTGAGCGACGACGTGAGAACCGGGAACTGCCAACTGGGTCAAAGTTCTGCGGAGACGGCGACCGACGTGTGCTGTTCGGATAGAGCCGACGATAGGGTGGGCAGGTCGCGTAGAAGTCGTCCCGTTCAAGGTTATCGTAGCTTCGTCGTTCGTCTTGCTGACGGCGTCGGCAAAACCTTGAAATATGACCACGGATGCCGCAATAGAAGCAAGTCGGTCGCGAACTGCGCCAGGCGTTGTAAGGCTGGGAAGATGGTCGCGGTGCGAGTGAGTTGAGCGAACCATGCACTTCGGGCGCTGGTAGCTGCATTG